ATTACAGGGGTGAGCCACTGGTGCCAAGAGTTTACTGAGTTAAATGTTTATCTCATCTGAAAGAGAGAGAGAGAGAGAGAGAGAGAGAGCTTCCCTGTATCCTCTAGGCTATATTTAACCATGTAACTAGAGTGATCGGCCCGGCCAAATTGAGAAGGAGAATCACCCATCACAGTTGGGTTTTCCATCCTTAGAGTAACCAAGAGAGTCCGGCCTGCCTTGCAGTTGCCTGGAGACAGGAGTTAGACAGCAGCTCCCCTGCCCGGCGCATTCCAGCTCGGGGACGCCACTCCAGATTCAAGAGACACAGCTGGACATAAACTCCTTTTGTTGTGAGAAAATTAAAAAGTGAGAGAGGGGAAAGAGTCCGTGAAAAGCCAGGTCTGTATAATTTTTACACACACGCACGCACGCACACACACACGCACATACAGAAAATAGACTGATGAGATCAGAGCATGGAGAAGCAGAAGTGGAAAGAGAATCAAAAGCAGAAGGAGAAGCAGAAGTGGAAAGGGTTGTGAAGGCTGAGCCCCAGATTTAGCCCCTGGAAAAGGTGGAGGGAAGGGAATGCCAGGAGGTGAAGTCCTTTGACCCCAAAGCTCACCGTGTGACTACATGGGGCAAGGCAGCAAGTGTTCCCTGGAAGGCAGGAGCACCAGGCGCGGGGGGGGGGGGCGCGGGGGTAGCAGTGATACCACAGGACATCAGGAGCCATGGCAGAGTACAGACCTTGGAGCTCAGAATCAGCCCTGCCCGGGCTCCATGGTTTCTGGGCTCTGCCAGGTCCTCCGCAGGCTTCCCAGAGGCCCTGCTGAGAACCTTGAACCTTGGAAGGGAGCAGGCCGCAGGCGGCCGTCTGACACCTCGACCACATAGAAGAGCAGAAGCTTATCTGATGCGCTTGGGGAAGCGCCCTCAGGCAGGCGCCTTGATTTCTCTCCTGTCCTGACTGCTGTGTGTGTCTGGGGCTGGCTGGGCCCCCCCCCCACTGCTCTCCTGCCCCCCCACCTCCAGCCTGGCCTGAGACCTGCTCCAGAGGGGCTCTGAGGACAGGGAGGTGGGACAAGGCAAAGGGGAGCCCCGGGGTGGGGGCTGGAGCCTGTGTGCTGTTGTCTGGGATCCAGAGCTGCTGGTGGGGCCATGTGCCACTTGACCATCCCCAGACCCCCCAAATGACAGCAGCACCCCAGAGAGACCCCAGAGGCCAGGGTGTCCAGCCGGCTGCGTCCTCCGGGGGCCCCAGCGGGTGTCCCTCTGCCACCTGGTTGGTGGTGACGTGGTGACGGCCGTCTGGAGCCTAGACTCGGGGTGCGGTGTTGGCTATGGGGTCACACGGACAGCACGGATAGAAGGGCCTGGCCCCCAGCCCCCGCCGTTCCCGTCTGCCCTCACCTCCACTCCACTCTGTGGACCTACACTGGGCCACTGTGGTGTGGTGAGCCCTCAGCAGGAATGTTCTGGAAATATCTGCCCAAGTGTGTCTTGAGGTGACATTCACTTTTGGCTGTATTAAGGTGATTATCGCAGGCTCTGGGTCCAGGCTGTGAACGCATTGTTGTGGCCCAGCTGGATGGTACCCTTTCTTTAGGGGTACTTGTGAGTCTGGGGGTTCTCACGAGGATGGGGAAGCGCCAGGGCAGGAGGTGCGGGAGGAGCTGTCTCCAGTGTCAGCCTCACCTGAAGACCCCCAGAATAGGCTCCCACCCCCACCAGGCTCCCCCCTCCCCCGGCAGCCCCTCTCCTCCCCTCCCCCCCCAGCATTCTCCTGGGCGGCCACAGTTCTGGCTGGAAGCCGATCCTCTCATTTCCTGGAAGGCCTTTGAGATTCCTGGGACGCCCGATCGTGGCATGGAAATGCCCCACCATTTCCCAACCACGTAATGACAGCCCCTTCCTTCTGTCTGCCTCAGCAAATTTGCTGGCCGGCCCGCCCCTGCCAAAGGGGCCATTATGCTCAGAAGGGAAGGTGGGAGGGGTGGTACACTCAGACCAAATCTCTTTTCTGTGTGTGTGTGTGTGTGTGTGTGCACATGCGTGCACATGCATGCATGCAGCCTTGAACTCAGGGCCTGGGCACTGTCCCTGAGCTTACTCCTCTAGTATTTTATTATTTGAGCCACAGCTCCATTTCTGGCTTTTTGCTGGTTCATTGGAGGTAAGACTCACTGTGCCGGCCCTGAATTCAAGCCCAGTACTAGGAAGGCAGGCAGGCAGGCAAGCAGGCAGGAAGGCAGGAAGGCAGGAAGGAAGGAAGGAAGGAAGGAAAGAAAGAGAAAGGAAGGAGCCAGGCACTAGTGTCTCACACCTGTAATCCTAGCTACTCATAAGGGTGAGATCTGAGGATTGTAGTTCAAAGCCAGCCTGGGCAGAAAAGTCCCCCTGAGACTTTTATCTCCAATTAACCACTCAAAAACTGGAAGTGGCACTGTGGCTCTAGTGGTTGAGCACTAGGCTTGAGCCCAAAGAGGCTCAGAGACAGTGCCCAGGCTGAGTTCAAGCCCTACAATAAAGGAAGGAAGGAAGGAAGGAAGTCAGGACACGTGGCTTGCACAGGGTACTGTACTGAGAGCCCTTCTCTGAGAAGCTTCGTGAAAGCTCTGTGTGCACGTGCGCTCTGCCCACGGCAGGCCCTCAGCGCGTGGCCTTGGCCTGGCCTGGTGTCCTGGCCCTGCGCTGCCATCCTCCAGGGAGGGGGCTGGCAGGTGTGCTGGCACGGGGATCTTGGCTCCTCTGCCCCTGCTCCTAAGGGTGAACCCCAGGCCAGCCTCCAGCAGGTATCACACACCGCGCGGCGCGTCTGGGGACTCTGCCCCATGTGCAGGTGGCAGTCCTGGGGAGATTTCCCAATGCCCATTTGACACATCACCAGCCATGAGGCCACGCCCGTGTGAGGTGACATGAGTGCCCATTGCTGTCCCTCAAGGTCACCAATTGTGCTTTGGGGTGGAGGGAGGGTAGGCCTTTCCCCGAGGTGCAGAGAGCTGGGGGAAGGAGAGAGCAAGGGACAAGGGGCTGTCTCCATCCTCAGTTCTGCATTCTCCGTTCTGCATTCTCCGTTCTCCATCCTCCGCTCTGCATCCTCCACTCTCCATCCTCCGTTCTCCATCCTCTGCTCTCCATCCTCTGTTCTGTGTCTCAGATGGCTTCAGCAAGAGCCAGAGGGGTCACCACAGCCAGCCTTCCTCGGTGGGCCCTGGCGAAACGGTTCTCCATGCGCTTCCCCAAAAGGGGATAGCGGCTTCCTGCCGGAGCTCAGCTGGGGGCTCCTCCCGGCTTTGGGGGGCTCCTGAGGCCCCTCCCCGCCCCGTCACCCATGTGGAACCAGTAATCTCTGGACTCACCTCCCTCACTGGACTTCGGCTCCATTGTTAGGAAAAAAACAAGGATCACTGGGGGTGGGGGAGAGCTGCGAACAAGATGCTGCACTTGGGGGGCTGGGAAGGTGGTTCAGTGGTAGAGTGCTTGCTTTGCATGCATGAGGCCCTGGGTTCGATTCCTCAGCACCACATAAGCAAAAAGAAAAAAAGCCGGAAGTGGCGCTGTGGCTCAAGTGGTAGAGCGCTAGTCACCTTGAGCTGAAGAGCTGAGGGACAGCGCCCAGGCCCAGAGTTCAAGCCCCATGACCGACCAAAAAAAAAAAAAAAATACAGGAAAAGCCAAAATAAATAAATAAATATAAGTAGAGGGCTGGGAAGGTGGCTCAGTGGCTCAGTGCTTGCCTCGCATGCATGAAGCCCTGGGTTCCATTCCTCAATACCACATACACAGAAAAAGCTGAAAGTGGTGCTGTGGCTCAAGTGATAGAATGCTAGCCTTGAGCACAGAGAAGCTCAGGGACAGCACCCAGGCCCTGAGTTCAAGCCCTGGGACCTACAAATAAATAAATAAAATATAGAAGAAATTGAACAATACAATCAACCTACCAGTCACTGATGGCTCACGCCTGTCATCCTAGCTACTCAGGAGGCTGAGATCTGAGGATCACGGTTCAAAGCCAGCCCAGGCAGGAAAGATGATGAGACTCTGATCTCCAATGAACCACCAAAAAAGCCCAAAGTGGAGCTGTGGCTCAATCAAGTGGCAGAGTGCCAGCCTTGAATGAAAAAGCTCAGGGACAGCGCCCACGCCATGAAGTCTCAGCATTGGT